TATATATATATAATATATATATATATATATATATATATGTATGTATATTATATATATATATATAATATATATATATGTATGTATAGTATATATATATATATATATATATATATATGTATAATATATATATAATATATATATATATATATACTATACATATACATATATATATAATTATATATATATATATGTATATATATTTATATACATATACAGTAATAATATATATATATATATATATATATAATTAGTATATATATATTATATATATACTATATACATATACATATATATGTATATGTATATGTAAGTACATGCATATATATATATAGTATATATATAGTATATATATATATATATAGTATATATATATATAGTATAGATGTATATACATGGCTATGTATATATAATGTATATGCATATAGTATATATGTATATATATATGTAATATGTATGTAATGTAATATATATGTATGTATGTATGTATTGTATATATATGTATGTATGTATATGTATATATATGTATATATGTATATGTATATATATGTATATGTATATATTGTATATGCATATATATGTATATGTATATGTATGTACATGCATATATATATATAATATATATTTATATATATATATATATATATATATATATATGTATATATATATATATATGTGTGTGTGTGTGTATTTTTTTTTTATATATACATATATATATATAATATTATATATATATATATATATATATATATATATATATATATATATTAATATATATATATTATATATATATATATATATATATATATATACATAGTTATGTATGTATACGTACATATATGGATATGTATATATATGTATATGCATATATATGTACAGATATGTTTATGTACATATATATTATATATGTATAAAAGTAAATTGCAAGTTTATGATATGACAACAGAATCTCTCCATGAGCATTAAATGTGATGCCTGCTTTTTTTGTTCATGGAGATTATTGATGTCAGAACTAAAAGAAATAAAGTTGCAAGGCATATAGATAACTTTGAATATAAATGCATTTTATGCTTAAGGAATATTGTAAAGTACATATATTGCCTTATTGTTAAGTAATTCTATGCAGATGTCTTATAAGAAGGAATGTTCTTAACTGCTAAAAATGTTATTTAGGAAATTCAGAAATTGCTTATTACGCAGGGGATGCATGCAATTTCAGAGCATATCAGTTAAAGGGTTAAGCAGTTTATTTTAAAATCTATGCCTGCTGTTTAGTTTTGTCTTTTACTTTTTTAGAGATTATTATTATTTTTTTTTTAGCAAGCAGGATCTTTTACTTAATTATCCGTGATGACTGGAGATAAGAGAATATAACTACAGATTATTGTAAGCAGTTTTTTTCCACCTTTTGATAGGAATAGATATTTAAATTATTGTATAATTTTTCTTCATTTCCAGATACTCTAAATTATACCTTTATCTTTCATATTTGAGACAAAATGTATGAAGATTCATATATTTTATCGCTTTTTCTTGTTTTTCAGGTTATTTTACTTCGAAGTCTCTTTGATGACAAGTCAAGACTACATGGCCTATGGAAGAAGGGGACAGCATCAACATTTTCATAAAGCCATCAAAAAATTTCACTTAGCTTGTGTCTGATTTCTATGTTACATTTATGAAGTGTGGAAATAACTGAGGTTATTTACTCTGATGCAAATTATTTGTATCAGTTTTCCAAGTGCTTTACACATATTCTTTACACAAGCAAATATTTTTATATTGTGTCCACTTGTACTCAGAATGCTCAGTTTTAAAAGCTAGTACAGAGACAACAATTAGGAACTGAATGAATGTCGATCACCCAGATAATGTTAAAAAAACAAAGAAAAAAAAGAAAAAGAAAACAAAAATGCACATATAATCTATTAGACCTATTTGTATATCCACTTATATCTACACTTCCCTCACTTGAGATGGAATGTTACCAACACAATCACCTGTATCACTCAAGGAAATGGGACTTTTTGGGATTTTGTTAAACCATTAACCCTGGGTTCAAGATCTGGCTAGTAGGCCATTAATGCATGGTTGGCATACATGGACAGTTTTCCCTGTTTGCACCTAGCTTGTTCGGTAGTTTGCATGCAACATTAGGCACCTAAAAGTTTTATATTTTGATATCATTAAAAAGAAAAAAGAAAAAAAAAAAAAAAGGGAAGGTTTTCCTTCACTTTAGTTGCTATTATCTAAAAGTTTCACCACACAAATGGTGCTGCTGCCGTCAAAGAAAACAATCTGTCTGGTGAGCCAGTGCTTCAGGAATGGTCATGATGCGATGCCACCTACGACTTGGTCCGCAACAGCCATGGCATGTAGCTACATGCCACCCGGCAAAATGGTTTGATTTGCACAAGTTTTTTTTCTTTTCCTATTGCGATTTTTTTTTCTTCTTCTTCTTCTTCTTCTTCTTCTTCTTCTTCTTCTTCTTCTTCTTCTTTCTTTTCTTCTTCTTCTTCTTCTTCTTCTTCCTTCTCTTCTTCTTCTTCTTCTTCTTCTTTCTTCTTCTTCTTCCTTCTTTCTTCTTCTTCTTCTTCTTCTCCTTCTCCCTTTTTCCTCCTCCTCTTCTTCTCTTCTCTTCTTCTTCTCTTCTTCTTCTCTTTCTTCTTTCTTCTCTTCTTCTTCTTCTTCTTCTCTTCTCTTCTTCTCTTCTTCTTCTTCTCTTCTTCCTCTTCTCTTCTTCTTCTTTTTCTTCTTCTCTTCTTCCTCTTTTCTTCTTCTTCTTTTTCTTCTTCTCTTCTTTTTTTTCTTCTCCTCTTCTTCTTTTTTTCTCTCTCTTCTTTTCTTCTTTTCTTTCTTCTTTTCTTTCTCTTCTTTTTTTCTTCTCTCTCTTTTTCTCCTTCTCTTCTTTTTCTTCTCTTCTTTTTCTTCTTCTCTTCTTTTTCTCCTTCTCTTCTTTTTCTTCTTTTCTCTTTTTTCTTCTCTTCCCTCTCTTCTTCTTTTCTTCTTCTCTTCTTTTCTTCTTCTCTTCTTTTTCTTCTTCTCTTCTTTTGCTTCTTCTCCTCTTCTCTTCTTTTTCTTCTTATCTTTTTCTTCTTCTCTTCTTTTTCTTTTTCTTCTTCTTTTTTCTTCTTTTTCTTTTTCTTTTCTTCTTTTTTCTTCTCTCTCTTTTTTCTCCTTTTTTTCTTCTCTTCTTTTTTTTCTTCTTCTCTTTTGCTTCTTCTCCTCTTCTCTTCTTTTTCTTCTTCTCTTTCCTTCTTCTCTTTTTCTTCTTATCTTTTTCTTGTTCTCCTTCTTTTTCTTCTTCTTCTTTTCTTTTTCTTTTCTTTTTCTTCTTCTCTTCTTTTTCTCTTCTTCTCTTCTTTTTCTCCTTTTTTTCTTCTCTTCTTTTTCTTCTTCTCTTCATTTTCTTCTTCTTTTCTTTTTTCTTCTTCTTCTTCTTTTTCTTCTCTTCTTTTTCTTTTTCTTCTCTTCTTTTTCTTCTTCTTTTTCTTTTTCTTCTTCTTCTTTTTTTCTTTTTTCTTGTTCTTCTTCTTCTTCTTCTTCTTCTTCTTCTTCTTCTCTTCTTCTTCTTCTCTTCTTCTTCTTCTTCTTCTTCTTCTTCTTCTTCTTCTTCTTTTTCTTTTTCTTTTTCTTTTTCTTTTTCTTCTTCTTCGTCTTCATCTTTTCTTTTTCTTTTTCTTTTTCTTTTTCTTTTCTTCTTCTTCTTCTTTTTCTTTTAGAAATGAGCAATAATGTAGTTGTTAAGACTTATGTATATATTGTTTTCATACATATAAAGTGTTTTGCAGTGTAACACTCATAAAAGGAATGAATGGTATTATTATTCCATTTTTATGTAGTTCCATGTTCTCCCTAGTCATAAATTTAGTGATGGCTGTGTCTCATTCATTTGACATGAAGTAATGTTTGATAATTATGGATAAAAATGTAGATAGTATTTCAAGTAAAGAACATTTTTTAAATTACATGTGCCATATTAGTAATTCAGGTCAGTTGCGGATATGAGTGAAGAACACTTTACTTGAAGCTTCAGTTGAAGCATATTTTCAAAGAACATAAAATGCCTTAGCACAAATTACATTTTAGGTCAGTGATACAATTTTCTTTCTTTCCTTTTAGTCTTTATTTTGAATCCTATCTTGTTTTAAGAAAGATAGCAGGTTTAGTGAAAACCAAAGTATCTTTTATCACTGTTATTTTCAATATTACCACTAAGCAGATAGAAAATTCTCACCAATTTAAAGTGAAATCAATGACTTTATTATTATTCATATCATTGGCAAGTAATTTGTTGACAACCACAAGAAATTTATGTAAGAAGGAAATTAAGATTTTATTTCTCATGTCCAGCTATAAACCATACAAGTTGAAAGTATTATTATTATTATTATTATTATTATTATTATTGCCATCAATATTATCTTTATATTTGATTAGTTTTTGTTATGTTTCATTTTTATTTTTGTGAAACCATAAGTAATCAGGGCATTCTCAGCTTAAACTGTACAACTGAATTGATATTTTGTCTAAAGTGTTTGCATAGGAAGATTTATGAAATTACACAGGCTTTGAATAGATATCAACTCTCCATGTGAAACAGCTTAGTCTATTGTAATTTCTTGTCAGATTTTTCAGTGTTTGAAATAAAATAATCTTGGTAATTACTCTGTCTACCTTTCCATTTAACACAATGGTACTGAGCTTCTACAGATAAGCATAGGATTCAGAGTACTTTATTTTTATGATGATACCATGATGAGAGAATGAACACTGATAATAAATGAGACACTAGCTTGGACATTTGTTACAGATTCATACAACACCTCTTTTAGCAATGTCTCCAAAAACAAGGAGGTTTAGTCTCTTTCCATAGCTGACCCGATCGTTCCCTTCTCGTTAGTTACATCTGAAGCTGAAGTTATAGTATTATCACCCACCCCAATCCCTTGCCCATTGTTGTTGTGGGGGGGACTGAGACCCAATGCAGGGATCTCCCCAGCCTAGGGCCTTAGCCCTCGCCTCAACTAATTTCTATTCTCCCTCCAGCTCTTTCATTTCCGTCCCTTCTCCAACCTCTTTTACTATCTACTTCCTAAGGTGTAAGAGCCGTGCTGAAAGGATGAAAGGCTGACTTTGTGCCAGTCCTGAACATCCTAAGGGAACCATGGGCATGGTATTCCCCTGTTTTGTTGTTTAGCCTTACCCCTGAAGGGGACCCTGAGGGGTGGACTGTTTATTTCCCCAACATAGCCAAGGTTTCCCATGGCCAATGATGAAGTAATACTCATGTTAGATGCAATGAGGCTTGCCCCTTAATCAAATAGCCCTACCGATTCAAACTCTCCCACCTCCCCAACCCCAGGCTCTCCTTTGACCACGACTCTGAACACTACAACTACTGCTCACTCCTCAATGCCTACTAGTGCATTACCCACCCAAGCCGAGATTCCTACTCTCCCAACTACCTCAACTTCATCAACTCTACCCCCACAGCCTTCTTCACCAATCACCTCATCTTCCCTTATTACTACCTTACAGCCTTATTCTCCATCTCTGTAATACTACCCCCTCAACAATACTCCCTCTTCCACACATCCCCTCAACTCTACCAATATCTTAAATTGTTTAACCCAGCCAAATGAGACCAATTTTTCGTAATCCCCCTACAGCTCCTTACTCAGGCAACACGCTTCTCTTTCAACAATGTCTCTGAAAGCAAGTGGGTAGAGTCCCCTTCTGTACCTGACCCGATCACTCCCATCTCGTTACAGTTACCTCTGAAACTGAAGCTATAGCATTATCAAATCTAATTGATTTCTCTGGCAACCCCATTCTTGCAGAACCTCATCCAACTCTTAATACTTGTACTGGAACGGTCTCTATCTCCCCAGCAAGCTGCCCTAATATATATATATATATATATATATATATATATATATATATATATATATATATATATATATATATATATATATATATATATATATATATACATATATATATATAATATATATATATATATATATATATATATTATATATATATATATATATATATATATATATATATATATATATATAATATTGAAGTCACCAACTACGAGGAAAGGTGGTTGAAGTTGGGAAATAAAGGTGGTTGGAGTTGGGAAATAGTCTCAAAGGCAGAAAAGTCAATAGGATGGGATGGGGAGAAGTAGACTGAAATCACTGTGATCCAGCGGCGAAGAAAGATGCGAATAGCTGTGCACTGGCCAGAAGTTTGTATGGGAGGTATGACATAAGGTGTTTTATGATGGATAAGTATAGACGAGACATAAAGGGATTGTGGGGAAGAGATAAAATGGTAATTGGGAATTGGAATAGGAGGGTGTGTGAGGAAAGTCTCTTGGAGGCAGATAATAGATGGATTACAAGAAGGATGGATATGACGTAGGTCTGATCTATGAGAGCGGAAACCGCGAATATTCCAATGTAGGAGAGCTATATCCTAGTTGATTTACAAATGATAACGCAAGTACGCGTTGGGGAATTTGAAGGGGAAGGAGCTAGGGGGTGTAAAGGAGGGATATTAGGAGGTAGGGAATCTGGAGAAGGGCATTGTTGTGACACGAGTGATTCTCGTGTGTATCCGGGAGGGAGTGCAAAGGATAGAGGGGATGGAGGGAGGATGTGCCTATAGTTGGGGTTGAAGGGGGTGGGTTGTGTTGGGAGGGAGTAGATGTGGGGGGAGTATTAGTGTTAGGAGGATGAATATCGGAAGGATGGATAGTTGGAGTTGAAGGGGATGTGTTGTTTAGGAGGAAGGGGTGTAGGGGTGCTGTGAGTAAGAGGGGGATGCATATCAGGAGGATGGGTATTGGGAGGATGGATATCGGAAGTGGATGGGATAGAGGGGGTTAGGTTGTGTTGAGAGGGAGTAGGAGGAAGGGGTATACGAGGGGGATGGATATCAGGAGGATGGATATCAGTGGTGGACGGGATTGAAGGGGTT